TTAAAAGTGTTTGTCTAAAACATAAATCGACTGCAACAACGCTAGAAATAACTGTCACAGTCATTAAAGGACTGATACAACTATTTCAAAGTTGTAACAGTTGATTTACATCTGTCCCAACTCGAAAAACTATGCAACAGTCATAAATAAACTGATTAAACGCCTAAAAGGTTGTCACAGTCATAATAAGACTGCTGCAACCATTTGAAAGTTGTAACAGTTATTTAATAACTGTCCCAATACGGAAAACGTTGAAACAGTCATAAATAAACTGTTTAAACGCTGAAAAGGTTGTAACAGTAAAAATATGATTGCTACAACCATTACATAGTCATAGCTAATTTATAAGTGTAGCAGCTTCCAAACATTGATCGTCATTAAGACTTAAAAGTCACGGATACAAAGTTTCTGACAGTCAGGGATAGGTTAAATTATTTGTAAAACAATTTTACCGTGTGCAATATAAGGTTGTGACAAAGAGACACAACTATCAAACCCATTTAATACATTAATTTTAGATAGAAATTGATTTAAAAAAAAAATATTTTGAAATATTTGCCACTGAACATTTTGGTATTCCCCGCTTATTTAGTGAATGAGCTAAATTTATATAATTATTAACACTCCCTCGCCTCTCATCTCATCGAACAAAATCGGAACCAGCACTAAATACCTGCAATTTCACACAGGACGGTTTTATTCGCATTTAAAACTAACCAAATGTATCTTTAACTGTATTAACAGTTGACAATTTTCATTTCAATATTATCTAAATAAAAACTTTTTAATTTTTTTAAATTAGTTAGGTGTGAAATCATTCATGCATACAAGGTTGTCTTCAATACCCGTAGTTTTACGAATCACATTACTTCATAATAACGGTCAATATACACGATATACTGTAAACACAGCGGGGAACTCCGAATATACACCCTTGTCAAACTTATCCCCATATTAAACTGCTTAATTTTTTCCCCGAGGGTTTATTTCACACACTTATTTTGAGCTTTTATTTCTGGCTACATTTTTTTTCTTGCAAAATTATAAATATTGCCGTATTAACCATTTTGATTTCTATACATATAAAACATATAACGCATCTTTTGCAGCTATGGAAAAACAAAAATAATCTTAAATCTATCTAAATTTAATTTATTTTACTGTATTTTATTTTTGAATAGTTCAATATTGACTCGACTTTGTACTGTATATTGTAACGAGTGGTCTATTTGAAGTTCAAATGTCCTTGATAAATAGCACTTCGGCATTCATTCATGATTGATTGAGGTAAAAATATTATCACTCGAGATCATTCATAATTTCACCGGATTTTTCTCAACCAATTTATCAAAAGTATTTATAAACAGATGGGCGTACTGTACAAGACCGACAAAATAACTAGCGCCAGTGAAAGTTGAAATGTTCAAAACAAGAAAACTCGCATTGTTTCAGACAAGGAAATCAAATCTTCTTTTATTTATTCACATAACGGTTTAGAACTTGCTGTATTCTTTAGACTCCGGTCTTGTTAAATTCTACAGACTGACATCGGATTCTCCTTTGTGGTTTCAGTTGATCAGATGTCGTACTAACCATGCTAACATTTATCTAAAATATTTTCCAATTTCCATTTTTTAAATTCAATTTATTTAATCATATAAATGCTTGTCCAATATTGATATATAATTCAAATAGTAAAGAAACCAAATGGGTCCATTATTCTAATTATATTCATCTTCAATCAGTGATGAAAACAGTACATATGTATTACCAGCAGAACTTATTTGGGCACCCCTTAGAAAAAAAAATCATTGATTAATTAAATCACACAAATTGTTTTGACTCACTTTAATAGAAGGATGGACTGAAAATAAGTATTCTGGCCCTGGTCTGAGTGAAAATATATAATCTGGCTGCCTATATGTTGGAAATTAATATTCTGACCATATCAAATTTGCCAATTCAGTTGCTAACTTCTATGTCATTGGATTTTAGGTGAAAAATTGTCTAATTTGTAAACAAGTACCACATCATTTTATTAATCAAATAATGATCTTATTAAAAAAAATGCAGTTCTATTTAACATTGTTGTGTCGATATTTTGAGCAATTATGATTTCAGCCGTGTATCACCATCAATGATCACTTGTTCTCCAATGGATGAATCTGTCGTAAAGTTTTCACGTGTTTAGACGTATAGATATATGTTGACCTCTAGATTGTTATTTAGTTGTTGTTGGGTTGATGTCATATAGTAGCAGTTTACTCAATTTCACCAATTTATTATCATATGTTTTAGTCTATTTGTCATGTTTGTATTGCATAGGCTTTTCACACCATGCTATATATATATGTCAATGTATGTATAATGTATATGTAAATTATAACAAACAGCTCACCAATAGTGCATAATACATGTATGCCTTTGTAATGCTTATTGTGTATATTGAAAATGTTGCTAAACATCTTGGGATATATATTTAGAAGGCATTTATTCAAAAGCAGATATAATGGATTTGTAGAAAAACATGAATAAGGGCAGAAGCCTGTTAATATTGGATCACCTATAAGCATGATAAGCCTTTGGTAAACCATGATACATTTGTCATCACTCATGTTTCAATTGGTCTGTAAACATGATAAAAATGGGAGACATCAGAAATGATCATCCAGGAACTATTTTTTCAAATTCTAAACATGCTTAACTGTAATTTTGAGGCCCTATATAACTTGCTGTTCGGTGTGAGCCAAGGCTCTGTGTTGAAGACTGTACTTTGACCTATAATGGTTTACTTTTTCATAATTTTTGACTTGGATGCAAAGTTGTCTCATTGGCAATCATACCACATCTTCTTATATCTATTAACTGACCCAATTTTATCGCCAACAGATTGTTTGTTGCTTTTGTATATAAATCAAACTTGGGTTTCTCATCTCAACTTGTTTACATTGTGTAACATCATTCAATATGGCTAGGCCTGTTATAGGTTTTTCATTATCATGATTATGTGGTACTGATTTTGCTCATTGTTGAAGGATGTGCAGTTACTAACAATTACATCACTTGGTCTACGGTTGATGGTTGTCTCATTGAAAATCATACCACATCTCCTTAAATATTTTGTTATTGTACATTCATGACATTGTACATGTTATACAAGACTACAATATTATCAAATGAATTATAACAATTGTTAATACTTGTCCGACTTTTGTTAACAAAAAGCAGCTATTATCAACATGGTAGACATGATCAATGGTGATGTAACAAGAGTGACTGTGCACACGCTGAAATGTCAAGTCTGCTTTGCCTACATGTAAAATTGAATTTATGTTGAATGTAAAAAATGTAATACATGTATATATGAAGGTTTTACTACATGTACAAGTATCACATAAACTTTCCATTATCAATTACCTTTGAAAATGAAGTCATGGTCAAATTAACCATGCCAAACAGATGATGTACACCCTACAAACTGACATTCCATACCCAAAATTTAGTGGTTTATAGTATCTGTGAAATAGACTTAACATCCAAACCATGAAAACTAAACATTGCCCAATGAAACATGAAAATGAGGAGGTCATGGTCAGATTTAAAACCTCCCAATCAAACTTGTACAACTTACGAAGATATCCAATACGCCAAAAATAGTGATCCTATACATGTCATGCATGTACATGTACATGTAGTTTATAGCATCTGAGAAACATTGGGAAATAGACCAAACCACAAAAACTAAATTGTTCAATGAACCAAGACATTTTCATTGAGGTCAAAGTCTGATGCAGGTCTTGCAGTCAGATATATTCACCTTACAATCATTTCATACACCAAATATAGTTGACCTATTATTCCTCTGAGAAACAAACTTGACAAAGTAACTGAAATAACCTTAATCACTGATCCATGAAATGAAGTCAAGGTCAGGTTAACCCTGCCTGACAGACAATGAGACATGTAGACCTTTCAAGATACCTATATATATATACCATATAAATTTATCCAATTACTCATTATACATGTACATGTTATACATGTAAGAGAGTATTTCACTGTATGACTGTTCAAACAGTAATATTTTTTTTCAAACAGTCAGTGAACCATGAAAACAAGGTAAAGTGCAATGAACAAGTTACTAACAGAAACTTCATAACATAAAGAAGTATCCAGGTCTTTAAGCTTCAAAAATGTACCTAGTGAAGCTTTATACAAATAGGTTACACTGTCAGTCAGGGATACTACTTGTACAAGTAATCTTTATTTACTTGAAGAGGTAAAAAAAATATACTTCTATACATGATATAAGTTAACTATAATGTTTGAATAATCTCCCCTTAATTTTCTCAAAAATTCACTTGTATAAGTAATTTTTTTTTACAACCCCACAAAAATTCTCAAGTTTGAGATGTAAAAACATGCCTTTAATGATTTTTCCCAGGATAGCTCATAATTTTTTATTAGAGCTCAATGTTTCATCTCATTAATTCAACAAAGAAACTGATCGCACAAAGATCTTAAGTATTTGCGCAAGTCCTTCAAAAATTGCTCCTTGGGGGCTTGTAAATGAGCAGTGTTCTGAAGATAACAGACAAATGAGATTTTCATTGTTCATGAAATTACACTTAAATGATTAGTTAAGACATCTGCAAAAGACAGACAATTTAAAATTCTATTAGAGCAAAGAAGTCCTAAGAATTCAAGAAAAGAAGATAGGATGACTTTTTCACTTATATAAGTAAAAAAACTGAATGTCTAAGGGACATAACTAAGGCAATTTTTTTTTACCTATACAAGTAAATAAAATACACTTGTATAAGTATCCTACAAATTTATTTATATAAGTATATTAATATTACTTCTTCAAGTAAATAAAAATAAAAAAAAAAAAAATGGTAGTACCCCTGACTGGCTGTAGCCGCTGCCAGATTGTAATACCTATTTCTTGCATACATCAACTTTTGTTGTAGGCGGGACTATAAAATTATACTTTGAAGTACATGGTTTATTTGTTTAATATGCTTGGGCACTAATTTAGATTTTTATTTAATTCTAATTCAGACTTTAAGTACAGCAAGCAGTCATTTGACACTTAACAACTGTGACCGACTACCATATACCAAATGAATAATTATCATGATTATCCAAGTTATTTAGTCATCCAGTACTGTGGTCCTCCTTTAATACAATTTGTAAGTTCCTATTTGTACAATGCACAATTTTTTTTCTTGTCCAATTTAATCCTAACATCACAAGTCATCATCATCATGGAATAATGCTACAAGTGCTATTCATTATTTCCAAAAACAATAAATAACTAGCACAAAATAATGAATTAATCCACTGTTTCACAATTTGAAGCTATAAGAGTGACTCAGTGACATCTATATTTCCTATGCATCAAAGTGCACATGTAGCAGGCTTCATATTCTAAGTGGGAATCATGCTCAAGCCAATATGAATCTACAAAAAAAAATATACATTGAGACTAAAGTACAGTAAAATTTTAGCTAACATAATACTATATTCATTGTACGGTACTTAGAAGAAAGTCAATTACAATAACTGTATCTACCTAGATGAAAACTAGCAATCCTCATTTGATTGACGAAAAAATTTCTAGGACTTATACAATTATATTTTTAAGTCCCAATTTTAAACAAGAAGAATAAATCTTTTTAGTGGGTCTAAATTCTATGTATGGTCTTTTTTCTACATTAATGATTTTTTATGTGTGACTGTGTACTTTCATTGAAGGGTTACTGTCTTATTGAGGCTCACACCATACTTTATTTCATCAATTCTTTAAAGTCAGACATCATGGACATAGTTATTCCTCTCTAAAACACAACAGGTTATTGCTTTTGTTCATGTTAATATGAAATAAATTGATACTACAGAGAAAAGTTTAAAGAATGAAAAAAATAATTAAATAAATAAATGCACTGTTACTATATAGATGCTATTGACTTTCCCTTTGTCAAGTGCATATAATGAATAAACCTTTGTGATGTAAATGTAGAATCTTTGTCCTACGGTTAATCAGGATGATATATATACTGTTCCAAGGCTGTTAACAGTCAGGGGACTTACTTAAATGAGCGCTTTTCTAAATCACTGATTCAAGTAACATTATGACCATAAAGGTTGGAAGTAAGAGTTGTTTTTCTTTAATAATCACCTATTTAAGTACATGTAGTACAAATTAATCACTAGCCTAAGTGATTTAATTTTATTGTAGCTTTAAATATAGAATACTATTGATCCAGGGGCTAATTATGTTGCTAAATTTATCAAAACCAACATCTGTGTTGATAGGATGACCCGGTCATGTCAGGTGATGACCTTGTACTAAATCTAGGATAATGACATAAAAATCACTTGTTTAAGTATCATACCTCAATTTCCTTCCAAAAAATCATTTCTTTTAATAAGTATCATTATTTTAATAACCCCCACTAATTTCAACACCCCGAACAGTGAAATTTTTATCGTGAACAGTAGAATTTTTTTACATAATCTATAAGATGAAACCTTGAATTTTACAGGGCAAATACTCCCACAGTGGCACTGCTGAGAAAAATCTGTTCAGAAAGTATCAGTTCATTATGTAAAGCCATTTTTATAGCATTTTTTCAACTAAAATAGAATTTGCAGCTAAATGATTGCATCAAAGGCATAAACCTTGCTGCTTAAAAGAAGCAAAAAGTTCATTTTTTTTCAATTTTACTAATGAAAAGATATTATGTAAACCTACGTGTTTAAAATTTTGGTAAAACTACAAAATCACAATTTGTGACAAAACTTCCAATTTGCTACTTAAATAAGTGACTTAAAAATCACTTATTTCAAAAAGTCCCCTGACTGGTTAATGTTTTAAATCCTTGAGTTTAATTTTACATCTTTTGTGTTACCCTGTATACTTTTTCCTTATTACAGCTTGTATTAAATAATGCTTTGCAGCTCAGACAACACTTTCTTTATTTTATTTTAGTTATTTACCCAATTTTATTTTGATAAATCAATACTCAGATAACTTTTAAAATATGCATTTTTTGTATCCAAAATAATATTATATCCTGCTGATTCATATTTTTCTTAAATTACAATTTATTTTGAAATATTTATCAAAATTTTGAAGAGGACAATTATAATTTGTGAACATCATTATAAAATCATCTTCAATATATACCCATGACAGTTTAAAATTCCTCCCCAAGGCAATAAACTATTGTGTGTCTTAATCTGTATATTAGCTATAACATGTATATAAGAATTCCTGATTATTACCTATCCAGTGTTAACATCCTGATTATTACCTATTTTAATGTCACATTTGCATGGTCATGAATTCATGTTCAGTAAATACATAAATTTTAATTATTTATTTTGAATTTGAATAAAAGGTATTTTTAAACTAAATTATTGGACATACAATGCAGTTAACACAGTAAATTTTATGACAACTTACTTGATACTACAATATCTATAAAAATATTTTGAGCTTCATAAAATACTTTAAAAAAGTTTATACCATGTTTAGATAAAAAAAAAATATGCTTACAGATAGATATTTTTGTTATGTTTTCCCCACATATTGAATGTTAAACATAAAATAATTATGTAGAAAAGGCAAAAAATCTGCAGTCAGATGTGAATGCACATGATGAAAGGAGATGTGGGATATAATTATATATCAATGATGCATCAACCCAACAGTAAGGCAACAATAAAGTAACCAAAACACAATTTAACACACAAATTTGACTCATGAATAGAAAGTCCTTTAATCATTTTAATGGTGGAATAAATAAAAAGACCCTTGAATGTTACTACTAGATAACATTTATGGCATAAATGAATTTTGACTAACCAGAGGGCACAATTTATATAAAAATTTCACATGAAAATATATAGTTTAGGTTCAAAGTATTTACAAATTTATAGTGATTTAATATTCTATGTTAAATCTAAAAAGAATATAATTATGATGCTCACTTTGCTCTTTTAATATGTTTTTTATTTCTTTTTAACTTAAAATCATGTACATGTAGCAATTAACATGATGACATATTTATAGATATTTTATTCATTGTAATTATTCATTTTGAGAAAAGATGCAACAACCTCCACAACCCTTGTTCAATATGAATCTTTAAGTACATGATGAAAGAATTACTAATTGAATTAGCAAATTTTGTTTAATCAACTGTGTTTAAATGGCAACTGTTTTGAATCTGTGCATGGTTTCAGGAACATTAATTTAATAATATTGTTTTATTTTGATGATTAATGTTATTTTGAACCATCTAATCAATGCTAATACATATTCACTTTCAATGCCTTATATTATCAAATATATTCATGTTTTGTTGTCCATGATTTGGGAATTATTTAAAAATTGAATGAAAATGCATACTTGCTAAATAAGTCACTAAAATTAATACTTTTCATAAAATTTTATGGTCAGATCATATGTTTTCATACACCGTCATATTAATTTGTACTATGCATGTTTTTTCAATGGAAATTGTGACGTCACAATGCATTCTTAATAGAACGAAAACTATCAGGTGATAAAGCAAAACCAGGGAAATCATGGAAATACTTGTAATCCAGCATTAGTAACACAATTATATGGATATGTACATGTAAAGATTGGTTGGTTGTTGGTTATAAGAAGTCCAGTGACAAGTATTTCATGCAAATTTAAGACCAGAGTTAACAATACATTAACATACAATATGTACATGATGTATAGGTCCTGTAAAAGGTCATCCCGCACAACAAAAATTAACCAATGCCCCACATGTTAGAGTTTAACAGTAAGACGATGAAGATCAAGAGTAACCTTTTTTTATTCCCTTGACCTTGTCACCCTTGGGGTGATGTATGCAAAGTAAATAAGGGATTAAATGACATACACATGATAAAAGGGGGAGGGGGAATGGTGTCAAACATGAATTTCAATGATGCACAACTTTTCCAAGCCCAAATCCTAACTTTGCCTTGGAACATGCAACTATGCACGAGTGTGGTGATATAGATCGTCGATTCATAGCCTGTCTGCATGGTCTGTAGGAAGAACAAATGTGCACATTTTCCCTTCAAAATCTTGGATCCATGATTATTCGATAGACATGCTTTAAAATATTATTCATTTCTACTCACCGATTGTAATTTCCAGCTCCGCTTATATTGTACATGTGGTCTAACATCTGTAGTTTCCTGTGTAAAATATAGTTTGCCGACCTCCAGGTCCAGTTTGCCGACAAGAAAATAAAGAGGGTAAATCGTCCACGGTGAAGAATTGTTTTCCGTTTTTAAAGAAACTTGACAGATTTAATTAATTATTTTTTTTATCATCGGAAAATATTCCTCATGGAGAGTAATTCAAATTAAAAATGTTTTATTATGCTGTACAATATTGATAACTTAGTCATATTCTTTAAATTTACTTCAGGTACACCGACGGTACATTTTCTTTTCCTCAGAATTTATCAAAACTTTTTCAGATATAAATTTGAATGAATTCATTAGCATCTTCTGTAATAATATTAAAACTCCATTTTTAAACGAAGGCTTCTGGTGTGTAAAACCAGTTATGAACGAATCTGAATAGATAAAATAAAAAGTAAAGATACCTAAAGGAAAGTAAAACGCACATGTCAAAAATGAACGGACAATGCTATGGCAATAAACGGAAAACGACAAAAGACAAACAACGATCTCAAAATAAATAAATAAAAAACAAAACAAGTCAACAACCGCACAATAGATGATAATAGTATAAATTATGGGCTATTTCACAACTATATCAAATCTTGAGAGCCGGGTGAAACGTAAATTTTGTTTATACACTGAGTTGCTACAGTGACGCAGGAACATATATATATAGATATACTGTTCCCAGAGTGACGCTAAAATATTTGTCGACTGCAACAACCTATGAAATGTTTGTTTTAAACATTTAACGACTGTAGCAACCTTTTAAAATTAGTAATAAACATTTTATGACTGTAACAACCTTTAAAAAGTTTTAACAAACATTTTACAACTGTCCCAACTCTAAAAACGTTGTAACAAACATTTTTTGACTGCATCAACGTCTAAAAAGTTGACACAAACAAATTTCAACTGTCCCAACTATTAAAAGGTTGGGACAAACATTATACAACTGCCACAACTTTTGGAAAGACTGTAATAAATAGTATTTGACTGTGACAACCCCGTAGACCACTGCAACAGTCCTTAAATGACTGTTGATAACATATTTTGATTTTCACAACCCATAAAAGTGTTGGGACAGACATTAATCAACTGTATCAGTTTCTTTGACAGTCATCTTCAGTCTTCCACAGACTAAGAGAGTCGTAGAACGACTGTTACTGGTATGGACAGTTGTTTTTTCGTCCAGTAGTGATATTTGCAGTTGCGGATCCAGAAATTTTCATAAGTGGGGGCCCACTGACTGTCTAAGAGAGGGCCCGCTCCAGTCATGCTCCAGTGAATCCCTATATAATCAACCAAATTTTTCCCAGAAAAGGGGGCTGCCCCCTCCCTCCCCCCCCCCCCCCCCCCCGAAATCCGACTCTGCTTTGTACATCAATGAGACAGCAACTACAAAAAACCCAGAAGAAACCTAGAGGGCAAAATGTTTCCTTCAACATAATGGCAGGTGTCTTAAACATGATATTATCATGTTAAGAAAATTCCAATCTTTAATTTTCATATACATGTACAGACGGTGACCTGTATGAAAGTTGTGAGTAAATTTCATAGAATCGAAATGTAAAAATCATCCTTGTAATGCCCAATTTTCCAAATTAAAGTAACAACATTAAGTATGAACAACAACAAAAAAATCAATGGCCTGTAAATCAGACGAAACATTTCAGTGTGTGCACTCTGGATATTTTATTTTTCGGTTTAACATTCACTTTAATTCTGTTTAATTTTGCTTGGTTTTGCTATGATACATTTAAAACTTCTTTTAATTGAATTTTAGATACATGTATATCATTAAAGGTTCTGAACATGAACATACACAAAATTCAATATTACCATATCACCGAACTTTGGACGTCCAGAAGTCATTCAAAGAATATACATTTGTATGTTTTTAACTTTATTGATTTTTTTTATATAGATGGAGCATTGTTTGTGGATTAAATTTTACATGACGGTCAAAGTAATAGCTTGAATAAGTGATTTAGAAACCAGCCTTCCAACCAATATGGTCAGACCAATAAAATAATAAATGTGTTTCTGCTAACATGCTGAAAAAATAGGGTATGTACATGTAAGTGAAGGCAATTTCATTTTATTTTACAAACATTTTTAGCTCACCTGGCCCAAAGGGCCATGTGAGCTTTTCTCATTGCTTGGCGTCTGGCGTCGTTAACTTTTACAAAAGTCTTCTCCTCTGAAACAACTGGACCAAATTTAACCAAACTTGGCCTAAATTATCCTTAGAGTATTTAGTTTGAAAAATGTGTCCGATGACCCCGCCACTAACCAAGACGGCCGACATGGCTAAAAATAGAAGGTAGTGGTAAAATGCAGTTTTTGGCTTATATCTCTGAAATCAAAGCATTTGGAGCAAATCTGACGGAGTAAAAATGTTCATCAGATTAAAATCTATCTGCCCTCAAATTTTCAGATGAATCAGACAATCCGTTGTTAGGTTGCTGCCCCTGAATTGGTAATTTTATGGAAATTTTGCAGTTTTTGGTTATTATCTTAAATATTATTATATATAGAGACAAAAAGTAAACAGTATTAATGTTCAGCAAAGTAAGATCTACAAATAAGTCCACATGACCAAAATTGTCAGTTGACCCCTTAAGGAGTTATTTCCCTTTATAGTCAATTTTCAACAAATTTAATTTTCGTTAATTTTTGTAATCTTTTACAATATCGTCGCCTCTGAAACTACTGAGAAAAATTTAACCCAAACTTGAACCCAATCATCCTTAGTGTATTTAAGTTTGAAAAATGTGTCCGATGACCTTGCCTGCCAACCAACATGGCAGACATGACTAAAAATAGAACATAGGGGTAAAATGCAGTTTTTGACTTATATCTCTGAAACTAAAGCAAAAGTATAGTGGTTGCAATCTGCTATGGAAACAACATCCCATGAGTGTTTCTTCTGTGAGTAATGCCAGGTCCACATCACAGAGAAATCGAAACTTTCTGCAGGAAAACTTACATTGTTATTTATGATTTTTTAATTGATATCATATTTTATATTGCATTAATAAGAACTGTTTTATCGTTTATGATTATGCTTTCCAAGGTTTTGACATCAAAGTTAATGATTTGCGGAATAATAACAGCATATCAATCCATGTGTACTCCCTTTACATAATTTATTTTGTTATAGGAAATAATGATATGGTTAGTCGAAACATTATATTTTATAACAGAAAAACAAAGGATATGGGATATCCATCCATGACACAAAATCAGTACATGTTAAGCAAACAACACACAAAAAGAAAAGGGACAACGCTTTCATTGCTGTTTTCTATCTCAGAGTAATAGTGAAACCTTCAACACGTAACAAAAAAATCATCACCTCCCTGCAAGTTTAAGACGGCATCTAGCAACGGTTTAAACGGAGTTCTTAACAAAATAATTCGGGTAGACATTGAATTACCACAAAATCGGGTCCAGTAAAAAAAAAAATGCTGAAAGTAATACAAATTTAAAATAGGTGTAAATATCAAACAATATACAATATATGCTGATAAATTAGGCATCATATGATAGATGAAGGACTGCTGATCCTTGATGAACACCTTTTGACTGGTAATTTTGAACAATACAAAAAAGCATGAATAAATTTAAAAAGGAGGGCATATATTAACTGTTTCTGAGATATGAAATACCTATTTTGGTATATCCAAAGTTCCGATAACAAGTGTGGTCTGATGTAAAAACAATCTAATTAAAATTAAATCTCCGCACTTGCTCCTCGTTGTTTATATGTCGCGCGTGGGAGATCTAACAACAGCCGCTTGAGGGTCATGTCTAGGGTCAAATTTGCTGTAGCCAATCAGCGAAGGTGCTACAAAGTGTTAGGGTATTGGACTGGCATAGGAGTCTTAGTAGCGTCTAGAGGTCTTCCGAATGTATATAAACAAAAATGGCAGCCCCCATGCGAAAAACGTTTCGTAACATACAACTGTAATAATAGTTTGTATTATTGCCTTCCGAGGTTAAAATGGCATCAAGTGAAGAATGCACCCCAAGGAAAATATCAGTATGAACAAACATTTGTGTTTTATGCGGTTTTTCTTTCATCCAGATAGAAATCTCCTCAACGGGAGAACGTGTTGAAAAAAAAAAACTGTTCAAACTGAAACTTCAGCAGAACTCAGAGAGAATCGCAATGATTTCTAGTGTTGTTACTGGTTTTGAAGTAAACGCCGAAGTAGACAATGACAATGGCGTCTGTATTAAATGTTTTAGAAAAGTCCAACAGTCAATCAAATTAAAGAAAGATGCATTAAAAATTCAAGAAGAACTAAGTGACTAACTTCGGGTGTCTTACCACCTGTCCAATCAGAAAGATTAATTGCTAATAGATTTGTTAATCTGCAAGGTGGAACAAACAATAATATAAGCTTAGATGAATACTTGAGAGATGTTGAACAAGGATACAAAAGTAACATGTTCAGGACATCAGACAAAGGAAAGTATCCTTCAACACTCTAAAGAGTATCCTCACCTAGTTAATTTTGCAAGCCATTTTGATAATATTACCAATTTAACAGGAAAGAAGGGGTTCCACCATATACGGTCATACCAAGCTGATGTTCAGAAAATTGCAAAAGACCTACTACAAGAAAATGTACTACATGTAACATATAAAACTTCAAGAATAATAACAATTAAGTGCAAGGAGCTAAAAAAAGACAAAAACCCATTTGACAGTGCATTTATAGGACTTCGTACATTGATTCATCGCCGTGACATCAACCAACAGTCCCCTTCCATCGCCTTCAAATCCACATATTTGAAAAATATTGCTTGGAATTAAATTATTGTGAATAAAGTGTGCAGGTTTAATTTTCTCTTAAGTCATAACCTTAATTAGCTGGTACTTTTTTAGTAGTTTGTTGCTGATATTAAAGTGTCATAAGTCAATGAGACATCAACCCAACAAACAAAGTAATGAAATACTTTCAGTTTAGTTGCAGAATATCATGGTCATTTTGATTAGGCAGCATAACTACCTACAAAAACATGTTTATAAAAATGTGGCCTGATTTCTAATGAGACAACTATTCAAAAGGGACCAACTTATTTTTCTGTATTAAAGTTCACAGTTCCACCTCTGACTTTGAGTAAAACCTATAGCAAGCTGTACAAAGACCCGAAATGACTTTATGAAAACATCAAGCACGTTCGTACAAAACAACAATGAGATAAAAACCAAACTTTTACAGATTTGTTCACAAGGCGACCAGCATGCAGATATTTACCCTATATGTACATGTAAAGAGCTGTTGATAAAACTTATACAAGGTGGTGTTGGTTAAATGTGCTTTCCTGAGTGATGAAGTTATTAGTGCACATTATTTGGTTCAATTTCTATCTTAGTCAAATTAAACACAGTAACTTAATATAATAAAATGCTCTGCTGGGCCCAGCTTGATACCACTGCAGAGGTCGAACACTGAACAGTTGGGGCAAGTATGGACACAACAGTCAAGCTTGATACAGCACTGAATTTGGATTGTGATTAAATATTTGACACAGCATAGGTTTCTGACACAGAATAAATGTGGTCTAAGAACTTATAAATTTTTAATTTACCTATTCAAACACAAGTTATTGACTGGAAACTAGAAAAATGCTTGTTTTTTGGCCCCTTTTTGGTTCAAAATTCCTTAACATTTAGGGAAATTATCCCCAAACTCAAACCTAGCTTTCCCTTTGTGATATGGAACCTTGTAGTACAATTTCAGAAAGATCCATACACTTACACACAAGTTATTGTCATGAAACTAGAAAAATACTTGCTTTTTTGCCCCTTAATTACTAAAATTTTGAGGCAATTTCCCCCAAAATCAATCCCAGCCTTCCCTTTGTGATATATGGAACCTTGTGGTACAATGTCAGAGAGATCCATACACTAACACACAAGTAATGTCTGGAAGTTACAAAAATGCTTATTTTTGGCCCCTAATTCCTGAACTGTTGGTACCATAACCCCCAAAATCAATCCCCATCTTACTTTTGTGGTATTGAACCTTATGGTAAAATTTCATGGAGATCCATTTACTCAAACTAAAGTAAGAATGCGAAAACCAATGTGTCTTCGGACGATGACGCCAACGTCATACCAATATACGACCGCAAAATTATTTTGTGGTCGTATACAAAAGAAGATGTGGTATTAAGTCTATATTTTACTGTTTTCTTGATGAACACATTGGTCTTGAACAAAGTTGTAAGTAAGATATAGTCCCACTTCATGTTATTGTCTTGAATATGCATGAAATATTTGCCACTGAAACCCAAGTGAAGAAATCAATAATCAATCAACCTGTCAATGTTTATTTTGAGCAAAAATAATCATCCTCTATGTATACTGTTGGCTACACCAAGTTAAATACAATGAGTTTGCTATATAGAACAAATATAACATCATCAAGAACAATGAACAAAAAGGTCAAAGTCATACATGTCATATGAACCATGCCAAAACTTAGCACAAAAGGACATGTACATCAATAGCAATAATTCTATACACCAAAGATAGTTGACTTGTTGATCAATAAACCATGAAAAGTCAAGGTCAGAAACCAACCAGAGTGATTTTTATAGTTCGTTCCTGTGTTGTACTGTTACACCACTGTCCCAGGTTAGGATCCTGCTAACATGTTTAACCCCGCCACATTCTGTATGTATGTGCCTGTCCTAAATCAGGAGCCTTAGGTAATTCAGTGGTTGTCGTTTGTTTATGTGTTCCATATTTGTTTTTCGTTCATTTTTTGTACATAAATTAGGCCGTTAGTTTTCTTGTTTGAATTGTTTTACATTTGTCATTTCAGGGCCTTTTATAGCTGACTATGCGGTATCGGCTTTGCTCATTGTTGAAGGCCGTACAGTGACCTATAGTTGTTACTTTCTGTGTCATTTGGTCTCTTGTGGAGAGTTGTCTAATCATGCTCATTGGCTATCATTCCACATCTTCTTTTTACATCTTACAATAATTCCACACCAAATATATTTTTCTGTTTGTTTATCATGTTTATAGTAATCGAGATGCAGATTGACCCCGAATATAATTATATGCTTGTTTCATGAAATGAGGTCAAGATTAGGCGAATCTGCAACCATATCTGACAGACATGACAGACATGGCAGACATGGCAGACATGGTTTTCTCTTTTGAATTTTTTCATATTTTTCTGGTCGGGGCCTTTTGTAGCCGACTAAAGGCATGGGTTTTTCTCGTTGTTCTACAATTGCTTATATCAAGTTATTGAAAAGTCTGGAGGGTAGTTGTCTGATTGGCAATCATACCGCATCTCTTTATTTTTAAGATGAAAACAAGTAAATATCTTATGATGTGTGTCAATCAGTTACTGTCTCATTTGTTTTTATACGCTACATCTTTTTTTAGTCACATTGACAGCTGCAGGCATGACATGAACCCAGATCTAGAGTGGCAATACAGCAATTGTAAGGGGGTTAAAAGTCAAAAAAATTTGAAGAGTCTAAAGTTGAATAAGTTACAGAAACCAGATACTGAAAAATTAAATAAATAAATATCAACTGTTTTAATCATCTTGTATTTCTAATAAAGCCATATCAAGATCTTCGAAGTATTCATAGGCCGACAAATTGTAGTCTTCAGTATCGCTATCTGAAACAGCAGAATCTTCTTGCTCCTCGAGCTCCTCAACAACTTGTTCTGACAGAAATAACTTCTCAAGAGGTAACATATCACAGGATTCACAATTACAAGACTTAGTACACAAGTCACAGCATGAATGTTTCCTGCTTTCTTTCTTCATCAAATCATCCAAGTCTGAATTTCTGAGGAAATTACGCATCAGATCCTTTCTCCTACAATCTTTAGCTTTAAGAATTGCCTTAGCTTCCGGTTTCAACTTCTGCAAGTGGTATCCATTGTATAGGATAATGGCAACTGATGGATTTCCATCCCTCCCCACTCGCCCTATTTCTTGCAGCAAATCTACCAGATTATTTGGAGGTCCAAATAATACCACTCCACTACACTTTTTTACATCTAAACCCATTCCCAGGGCACTGGTTGACAAAATAAGTCTCAAAACACTACTTTCCTCCTTCAATGCATTAATTATGATGTTTTTGTTAACATCTGGAGTTTCAGAATGGAACATCTCAATATACTTGGCACAATGTGGCAATTCTGTTACAATGTACTTATAAAGTTTGGAAGTGTCATTTATCGATGAACAATACAAAAGTGTACGTGGGAAGTCCTGACTTTTTTCCTCTAATGCATCTACTAACCATGTCATTCCCATTTCAATTTAATTTATCACCAAACAAGTCTAATATTAAACTAGTATCTTCCAAAATTAAAAATTAAATTGAAATGGGAATGACATGGTTAGTAGATGCATTGTGCCAAGTATATTGAGATGTTCCATTCTGAAACTCCAGATGTTAACAAAAACATCATAATTAATGCATTGAAGGAGGAAAGTAGTGTTTTGAGACTTATTTTGTCAACCAGTGCCCTGGGAATGGGTTTAGATGTAAAAAAGTGTAGTGGAGTGGTATTATTTGGACCTCCAAATAATCTGGTAGATTTGCTGCAAGAAATAGGGCGAGTGGGGAGGGATGGAAATCCATCAGTTGCCATTATCCTATACAATGGATACCACTTGCAGAAGTTGAAACCGGAAGCTAAGGCAATTCTTAAAGCTAAAGATTGTAGGAGAAAGGATCTGATGCGTAATTTCCTCAGAAATTCAGACTTGGATGATTTGATGAAGAAAGAAAGCAGGAAACATTCATGCTGTGACTTGTGTACTAAGTCTTGTAATTGTGAATCCTGTGATATGTTACCTCTTGAGAAGTTATTTCTGTCAGAACAAGTTGTTGAGGAGCTCGAGGAGCAAGAAGATTCTGCTGTTTCAGATAGCGATACTGAAGACTACAATTTGTCGGCCTATGAATACTTCGAAGATCTTGATATGGCTTTATTAGAAATACAAGATGATTAAAACAGTTGATATTTATTTATTTAATTTTTCAGTATCTGGTTTCTGTAACTTATTCAACTTTAGACTCTTCAAATTTTTTTGACTTTTAACCCCCTTACAATTGCTGTATTGCCACTCTAGATCTGGGTTCATGTCATGCCTGCAGCTGTCAATGTGACTAAAAAAGATGTAGCGTATAAAAACAAATGAGACAGTAACTGATTGACACACATCATAAGATATTTACTTGTTTTCATCTTAAAAATAAAGAGATGCGGTATGATTGCCAATCAGACAACTACCCTCCAGACTTTTCAATAACTTGATATAAGCAATTGTAGAACAACGAGAAAAACCCATGCCTTTAGTCGGCTACAAAAGGCCCCGACCAGAAAAATATGAAAAAATTCAAAAGAGAAAACCATGTCTGCCATGTCTGTCATGTCTGTCAGATATGGTTGCAGATTCGCCTAATCTTGACCTCATTTCATGAAACAAGCATATAATTATATTCGGGGTCAATCTGCATCTCGATTACTATAAACATGATAAACAAACAGAAAAATATATTTGGTGTGGAATTATTGTAAGATGTAAAAAAGAAGATGTGGAATGATAGCCAATGAGCATGATTAGACAACTCTCCACAAGAGACCAAATGACACAGAAAGTAACAACTATAGGTCACTGTACGGCCTTCAACAATGAGCAAAGCCGATACCGCATAGTCAGCTATAAAAGGCCCTGAAATGACAAATGTAAAACAATTCAAACAAGAAAACTAACGGCCTAATTTATGTACAAAAAATGAACGAAAAACAAATATGGAACACATAAACAAACGACAACCACTGAATTACCTAAGGCTCCTGATTTAGGACAGGCACATACATACAGAATGTGGCGGGGTTAAACATGTTAGCAGGATCCTAACCTGGGACAGTGGTGTAACAGTACAACACAGGAACGAACTATAAAAATCACTCTGGTTGGTTTCTGACCTTGACTTTTCATGGTTTATTGATCAACAAGTCAACTATCTTTGGTGTATAGAATTATTGCTATTGATGTACATGTCCTTTTGTGCTAAGTTTTGGCATGGTTCATATGACATGTATGACTTTGACCTTTTTGTTCATTGTTCTTGATGATGTTATATTTGTTCTATATAGCAAACTCATTGTATTTAACTTGGTGTAGCCAACAGTATACATAGAGGATGATTATTTTTGCTCAAAATAAACATTGACAGGTTGATTGATTATTGATTTCTTCACTTGGGTTTCAGTGGCAAATATTTCATGCATATTCAAGACAATAACATGAAGTGGGACTATATCTTACTTACAACTTTGTTCAAGACCAATGTGTTCATCAAGAAAACAGTCAAATATAGACTTAATACCACATCTTCTTTTGTATACGACCACAAAATAATTTTGCGGTCGTATATTGGTATGACGTTGGCGTCATCGTCCGAAGACACATTGGTTTTCGCATTCTTACTTTAGTTTGAGTAAATGGATCTCCATGAAATTTTACCATAAGGTTCAATACCACAAAAGTAAGATGGGGATTGATTTTGGGGGTTATGGTACCAACAGTTCAGGAATTAGGGGCCAAAAATAAGCATTTTTGTAACTTCCAGACATTACTTGTGTGTTAGTGTATGGATCTCTCTGACATTGTACCACAAGGTTCCATATATCACAAAGGGAAGGCTGGGATAGATTTTGGGGGAAATTGCCTCAAAATTTTAGTAATTAAGGGGCAAAAAACAAGTATTTTTCTAGTTTCATGACAATAACTTGTGTGTAAGTGTATGGATCTTTCTGAAATTGTACTACAAGGTTCCATATCACAAAGGGAAAGCTAGGTTTGAGTTTGGGGATAATTTCCCTAAATGTTAAGGAATTTTGAACCAAAAAGGGGCCAAAAACAAGCATTTTTCTAGTTTCCAGTCAATAACTTGTGTTTGAATAGGTAAATTAAAAATTTATAAGTTCTTAGACCACATTTATTCTGTGTCAGAAACCTATGCTGTGTCAAATATTTAATCACAATCCAAATTCAGTGCTGTATCAAGCTTGACTGTTGTGTCCATACTTGCCCCAACTGTTCAGTGTTCGACCTCTGCAGTGGTATCAAGCTGGGCCCAGCAGAGCATTTTATTATATTAAGTTACTGTGTTTAATTTGACTAAGATAGAAATTGAACCAAATAATGTGCACTAATAACTTCATCACTCAGAAAAGCACATTTAACCAACACCACCTTGTATAAGTTTTATCAACAGCTCTTTACATGTACATATAGGGTAAATATCTGCATGCTGGTCGCCTTGTGAACAAATCTGTAAAAGTTTGGTTTTTATCTCATTGTTGTTTTGTACGAACGTGCTTGATGTTTTCATAAAGTCATTTCGGGTCTTTGTACAGCTTGCTATAGGTTTTACTCAAAGTCAGAGGTGGAACTGTGAACTTTAATACAGAAAAATAAGTTGGTCCCTTTTGAATATTTGTCTCATTAGAAATCAGGCCACATTTTTATAAACATGTTTTTGTAGGTAGTTATGCTGCCTAATCAAAATGACCATGATATTCTGCAACTAAACTGAAAGTATTTCATTACTTTGTTTGTTGGGTTGATGTCTCATTGACTTATGACACTTTAATATCAGCAACAAACTACTAAAAAAGTACCAGCTAATTAAGGTTATGACTTAAGAGAAAATTAAACCTGCACACTTTATTCACAATAATTTAATTCCAAGCAATATTTTTCAAATATGTGGATTTGAAGGCGATGGAAGGGGACTGTTGGTTGATGTCACGGCGATGAATCAATGTACGAAGTCCTATAAATGCACTGTCAAATGGGTTTTTGTCTTTTTTTAGCTCCTTGCACTTAATTGTTATTATTCTTGAAGTTTTATATGTTACATGTAGTACATTTTCTTGTAGTAGGTCTTTTGCAATTTTCTGAACATCAGCTTGGTATGACCGTATATGGTGGAACCCCTTCTTTCCTGTTAAATTGGTAATATTATCAAAATGGCTTGCAAAATTAACTAGGTGAGGATACTCTTTAGAGTGTTGAAGGATACTTTCCTTTGTCTGATGTCCTGAACATGTTACTTTTGTATCCTTGTTCAACATCTCTCAAGTATTCATCTAAGCTTATATTATTGTTTGTTCCACCTTGCAGATTAACAAATCTATTAGCAATTAATCTTTCTGATTGGACAGGTGGTAAGACACCCGAAGTTAGTCACTTAGTTCTTCTTGAATTTTTAATGCATCTTTCTTTAATTTGATTGACTGTTGGACTTTTCTAAAACATTTAATACAGACGCCATTGTCATTGTCTACTTCGGCGTTTACTTCAAAACCAGTAACAACACTAGAAATCATTGCGATTCTCTCTGAGTTCTGCTGAAGTTTCAGTTTGAACAGTTTTTTTTTTCAACACGTTCTCCCGTTGAGGAGATTTCTATCTGGATGAAAGAAAAACCGCATAAAACACAAATGTTTGTTCATACTGATATTTTCCTTGGGGTGCATTCTTCACTTGATGCCATTTTAACCTCGGAAGGCAATAATACAAACTATTATTACAGTTGTATGTTACGAAACGTTTTTCGCATGGGGGCTGCCATTTTTGTTTATATACATTCGGAAGACCTCTAGACGCTACTAAGACTCCTATGCCAGTCCAATACCCTAACACTTTGTAGCACCTTCGCTGATTGGCTACAGCAAATTTGACCCTAGACATGACCCTCAAGCGGCTGTTGTTAGATCTCCCACGCGCGACATATAAACAACGAGGAGCAAGTGCGGAGATTTAATTTTAATTAGATTGTTTTTGCATCAGACCACACTTGTTATCGGAACTTTGGATATACCAAAATAGGTATTTCATATCTCAGAAACAGTTAATATATGCCCTCCTTTTTAAATTTATTCATGCTTTTTTGTATTGTTCAAAATTACCAGTCAAAAGGTGTTCATCAAGGATCAGCAGTCCTTCATCTATCATATGATGCCTAATTTATCTGCATATATTGTATATTGTCTGATATTTACACCTATTTTAAATTTGTATTACTTTCAGCATTTTTTTTTTTACTGGACCCGATTTTGTGGTAATTCAATGTCTACCCGAATTATTTTGTTAAGAACTCCGTTTAAACCGTTGCTAGATGCCGTCTTAAACTTGCAGGGAGGTGATGATTTTTTTGTTACGTGTTGAAGGTTTCACTATTACTCTGAGATAGAAAACAGCAATGAAAGCGTTGTCCCTATTCTTTTTGTGTGTTGTTTGCTTAACATGTACTGATTTTGTGTCATGGATGGATATCCCATATCCTTTGTTTTTCTGTTATAAAAGATAATGTTTCGACTAACCATATCATTATTTCCTATAACAAAATAAATTATGTAAAGGGAGTACACATGGAATGATATGCTGTTATTATTCCGCAAATCATTAACTTTGATGTCAAAACTTTGGAAAGCATAATCATAAACGATAAAACAGTTCTTATTAATGCAATATAAAATATGATATCAATTAAAAAATCATAAATAACAATGTAAGTTTTCCTGCAGAAAGTTTCGATTTCTCTGTGATGTGGACCTGGCATTACTCACAGAAGAAACACTCATGGGATGTTGTTTCCATAGCAGATTGCAACCACTATACTTTTGCTTTAGTTTCAGAGATATAAGTCAAAAACTGCATTTTACCCCTATGTTCTATTTTTAGTCATGTCTGCCATGTTGGTTGGCAGGCAAGGTCATCGGACACATTTTTCAAACTTAAATACACTAAGGATGATTGGGTTCAAGTTTGGGTTAAATTTTTCTCAGTAGTTTCAGAGGCGACGATATTGTAAAAGATTACAAAAATTAACGAAAATTTGTTGAAAATTGACTATAAAGGGAAATAACTCCTTAAGGGGTCAACTGACAATTTTGGTCATGTGGACTTATTTGTAGATCTTACTTTGCTGAACA